GTACGTACGTACGTACGAGCGCGCGTGTGTGTGTGCGCGCGACTGCGTGCCAGTACGTGTGCGCGCGTTCGCTCGTCCATTTTTTGGAGCTAATGTTGATCACGTTCCCTACACCTGCCCGCGTGTGTGTTTGTGTGTGCTGTGTGTTGTGTGTTAACACAGAAAAAGCGAAACGTGTGTAACATTAGGAGTAGGCGATGAGAAGGAAGAGCGTGGGAGATTGAGAATAAGATGGGCCAGGCAGCAAAATATTGAGAGATAGTGCGTCATCAACGCACATCTGTGCACACTGACACTTATATATATAATATATATATACCAATATACTATAGTATACTATATTATACCATAGTATACTATAGTATATATAGTATATATATATATCCGTGTGCGCAGTGCAGCCGCGTGAGGAATGGCGGCAGCCAGTGTTTGTTGCAGATAAGCATTTGAACGTAATTTACAGGAAACCGTCGGCAATAATATTAATAGGTGAACGAGAGTATAGAAACATTAAGAATTTGGTAGTAAATAGATTTTTTATTTATTTAGCATTATATTTTATTGAAACGCTTCAAGTGCCTGTTATTACAACCACCAGATGTTTTGTAATAGCCTACAACAGGATCTAGCTTTGGTCAATTTCGAATCGACAGAACTAAATATAGGCCTCAATAAATTTATTGCAATTTTTTTAAACCTGGAATAATATGCACCATTGCTGACTTTATCCAGAACTAAATAACATTCTACTCCATACCTTGGATTACCGCGGGTCTACGGACCTCAATTACAACTAAATCATATTTTATTCTCAATATCTAAAATGAACTGAAGTTTTAAGAAACTTATATAAGAAATACTGTAATAAGTTAACGCATTTAAAAACATCTTTAAAAAACAATACTACAATAAATTACTAACTGATAATAAGAATTAGTAGTATAAGTAGTATAAGTAAAACTTGGACTACAATAATTAACGAAATAATTAAGTTAAAAAATAAAGTTTCCGTTCTTCTTGATACTCAACTACCTGGCAACAACTCAAATTTTAGTCCAAAGGCCATTACTGAAAAATTTAGTAATTACTTTCAAAGCATTGGTACATCCATGTCTAACAAAATTAAAAAGATGGACACACCTTTTCAGAACTTTTTATATGATCCAGTTACAAACTCCATCTTGTTAACTCCTATTGTAAATGAAGAAGTAGTCTCTACGTTCAAAAGTATGTGTATTAATAAAGCAACTGGGCCTGATGAAATTCCCGTTAAATTTTCCAAGTCAGCTGCACTCATCATTTCTCTAGTCTTAACGAATCTGTTTAATTCTTCTATCAAGAGTTGAAAATTTCCCAATCAACTCAAAATAGCTAAAATAATTCCGTTACATAAAAAAAGGTTCACATAACGAACCATCCAACTATCGCCCTATATCTCTCTTATCACTACTATCAAAAAATTTTAAACAATTAATTTGTCATCGACTTACCAACTTCTTAAAAATCAGAATAATGTAATTAGTAAATATCAATTTGGGGTTTGAAAGAACAATACTCCACTGCATTAGCTGCAGCTGAAATCTTTAATAATCTAGTTAATGCATTAGACTCTCGACTATATACTAGCTTTCGACACGGTTAATCATAAAATCTTATTCGCAAAACTGGAACATAACGGTATTAGAGGTTTAACTTTAGATTTTTTTTTATCATACCTGTTTAATCGTTATAACTACGTACACATGCATAAATTCACACAAATCAAACTTAGCGGAAATGACTTGTGGTGTCCCTCAAGGATCAACTCTGGGTCTACTACTTTTTCTTATATATATATATATTAATGATCTCCCTAACACTTCAGATTTTTGCACCAGACTATTTGCTGACGATACTAACTTATTTATGTCAAACAGTAACCTCAATGTTCTTCAACTCTTTGTGAACACTAATATCGAAAAAATTGACACATGGATGGCAGCAAATATGCTATCGGTCAATTATCAAAAAAACAAATTTATGATTATTTCTAACTTAAATAAAACGAACAATAATTTCAGCGTTAAAATGAGAACCCATTACCTCCCTTCTACTTCATGTATAAAATATCTAGAAATTTTCATTTACAATAGGCTTACATGGAAAAATCATATTACTCATATTGCAACAAAAATTGCACGATCAACAAGACTTAGTATTATATCTAAATTAAGACACTATATTCCACAAGAGATGCTTCGCACTATTTACAATGACCTGGTCTAGCCCTATCTAATCTATGCGGTCTTGACTTGGGGTACAGCCAACGAAACCACTTTAAACCCACTACAAACTATTCAAAACAAAATTGTTAAACTTATCAAATTTGCTAACTGGAGGGATCATGCAACCCCGTGTACTTTTATGAATTGTATTTGTTTGAATTACAAATCGACATTTATAATTTAGAGCTAGGTAAATTTATGTTTAAATTCAATGCAGGTATTCTCCCTGAATTATTCTAGAAGAATTCTCATCATTACCAGACAAGAGCAGCAACTAACAATTTATACTTTACTCTTAGAGTATCAACAAATACTGGTTTTAAATCTATTAAATCGGCTGGAGTTAAACTTTAGAACGCCTTATCTGTAATTAAAAAAACGTACTATTAAACAGTTCAGCTATAAATATAAATTCAACATGCTACAACAGTATATCTTTTTATGACGAACATATCCGGGTCGTGATTAACTAGTTCTCTATGTTTGTCATGATGTCATTTCTAGTATTTTACGCGATTGTTGTAACACTCTGGCATGTAATTGCTATTTTTTTTAAACACTTCTACAAGATATTTATGACTAAATGCATGTTTAAATGCAGAACTATTTCCTAGACTATTTTTCTAGTAATATATGCTAATAAAGTTACACTTTTTTACATAGCATTTAGTTGAGTGTGGTAATGACTTGACAAAATTCAGTTATTTGTTTTTAATTTGAAAGGTTTTCTGAGTTATTCTTTTACTTGGCGTTTTATGTATTGCTCGCAATCTTAGCTTGTTAGCTTGTTGTTGTTTTTTGATCTGTAAATTGCTAGCTTTCCTATAAATTGTTATATACATTCATTGTTATGTATGATGTTTAGGATTTCTTCTATTTTTCTATTGTTTATATTTACAATATGGTTTTGCACTGAATGCCGCTTTACATTTATATGTATTGTTTGTCAGTTTTTTTTCTTTTTTTTACTCTATTGTTACAGTTAATGTCAGCTTTTATTTGTCAAGTCAAATGTATGTTATTATAGATGTTACGTATCGCCAAATGTTACAATTGCAATTTTGTTCAAATGTCTTTTGCATAAAACCTCTGAGTTATTCCTTTACTGAGGGGAGGTAAGGGGGACTGTTCACAGTTCACAGTGAAAATAAACTGCTTTTCACATTTCACAGTGAAAATAATGCTCTTTTCACAGATTACGTGGATAATCCAGTTTACAGCTAAAATTTCAGACACATAAGATCCTAGGTCCTAGAAGTATACAAGTATATTTCTTGACTAACAACGCTTCTGAAAATCAAAAATATGCTTACGCAGTAGTCATGCTTATACATGTGTGTGTGTGTGTGTGTGTGTGTGTGTGTGTGTGTGTGTGTGTATGTCTCTCTCTCTCTCTCTCTAGTATACATGTACTAAAGGTGTTGTTTATTCATAACCAGCTAAAGGGCGTATAATTTATTGCCGCGTTTACAGCCGAGCACATTGTAACGATATTGTTCTCTAGTTGGCAACGCAGTTGAATTCACAGTACATACCCGATGCGAGAATCAATCAACGTTTTATTAGCACAATGACAATGAGCTCTATGTAGCGTCATCATGTTGAGCTCTAATAATTCATGAGCTCTATTATGAACATATGAATATATAAGTGACGATGTGAATTCACATATATTTAAGAGCTAATAATACCTCTTAGCTCTTGATATATTTAGCTATTGATATTTGGTATTATTAGCTCTTGATATATTTCATAGATGCTAAGTAGTTTTGACAATAAAAAAATTGTTATATTTTACGCAATTTTCTATTTCGCAATTCCTGGATTGTAGCAGAGCATCTCGAATATTCTAGTGTTTTTTTCCCATATATATTACCGCAGAGGATACAGACGAAAGAGAAATGTTTTATAGTCTTGATCACGCATTGTATCTTGGTTTCGTACAATCACGACAGTTATGTGAAGCATTATATTTTCTGATTACATTAAGCAGAATCATGTCGCAGCATTTTTATAGGTGAAATTTTAGAATATCTATGATTACGTTGTATTTTTTGAAAATTTACATTTCTACACCCATAACCACAAAGTCTTTGCCTCCCTTTTCAAATGTTTCTTATTTTTCCTATTATAATCCTGTCAGTCTTATTTCTACTTGGTTTTATTATTACCCTTTCCCTTCGATTTCTTTTCTTATTTAACAGTATTTATTTAAACACATTTGGCTTCCCAAAAATGCCTTCTTCTAACGAGCAATTCGTGGGCAGTATAAACGCATGTAACCCCACAGTGATGTGTCTGACAAACATCCCATTAAAACATTCCCTGTCTCTTCGCCAGCGCGGGGTAGATGATATATCCACACATAGATTGTAGGGTCACTTCTGCTGCTGAAACCGATGTCATTAACAAAATGCTTGTGCTAGCTGTCGGATTTATCATCGCCCGCGTTTATGAATGGTAAAGGTTTAACCTCATTAATGATTGTCAATATAGACGATAGCACCGGCTGGCGTAGCGAGAAAATAAGCGACGTAGCGAGAAAATCGGCGGCGAGTCTGTGAGCGTGATCACACGCAAGCCGGCCACACTGCTTCGCGGCAGCTGCCGCCGCTACTGCCACGGAAAGCTCGTGCCGTGCCGCAGAAAATAGCTGCCGCTCATTGAATTCCACGCTGCTCCTTTGTGAGACAAGAGGATAGAATACTTACAGGCCTCCTGTGTCACGGCAACGTACAGAGGTATTCACGGAGTAAAAGATTGCAGAGATGAGCACTACCAGTAAAGGTATCTGCGCAATACATAGGGACACTCACGTAGATGGAAATAACAACAATAGCGACAACAACAACCACGACGAAGACGACGACGATGACGACGGCAAGCTAGACGACGGCGACGACAAAGAGAACCACTCTAGCAACAATGACGGTGATGACAAGCGTCAAAAGAACTCGTAGCCGGTAATAGTGTCTTACCATATTTGTTCAGCAGCTGCATTGGGGCATGTCACGTGGTACATCAACGGTATGACTATAACCTAATTTGCTGGATTATGGAGGCATCATTGGTGGTAAGTCAATTCGAAGATGGCGTTTACGAGAGAAACGTGTCGCTATACCGTAGACAGGCTAACGCTCGTGCAACGTGTATGGACGGAGAGTTTGTTACTCCCCTTGTTGATTGCCTGGCGACGGGTTTCGGAGTAGATGGAGGCCGCGGATATGTGAGACGGAAATTCTTTACCTACAGATGGCTCGCCCGCTTCTATATGCTATTTAGCGAAAATCTAACACACACGTCTGCCCCGATCCCTGCACACACACGCGCTCTCTCTCCCCCTCTCTCACACTCACTCCACGACGCCCACAGCCCGCAGCACACACACACATGCATACAGACACACACACACACGCATGCACACACACACACACACACACACACACACACACACAGTCACACACACACCAGCCACACACACACAGCACACACGCGGCGGCGGCGCCGGCCCCCGCGCACAGCGCGCTCGGGGAGCCACGCAGCTCGGCGGTCGCCGGCTGTTTGAGCTGCGCCGCGTACATACACAATAGATGCGCACGTAGCGCCAGCGCGCCTTCCTGCAGTGCCAACCTCACCACACCCCAGCGCCACACCAAGCGCTCTACCTCATAGCCGCACATCACATCACCCCACGTCAGGCTCCCCTCGCATTCCCACACATCACCCTTTCCAGCACACAGACCACACTAAGGCTCATAGGGTCTATGTCCCCCCAGGTTACTGCCGGAACGTACCCTGGGTTCGGCTAAGTATTGCATGAAAGGAACTCCATTCGTCAGACATGACGCCGATTATCATAGACATAGATAAAATGCTAAGTTCAATAGGGAGGTTAATTGACTCATGCCCTATCCCTCACGCGTATGCATCAATCATGTGACTGGATAATTAATTACCTCAAATTATGGTGCGAAACGTTTGACACACTATAAAACATTATAACGTTTCCACATTATCTCTTTTTGCTGATTGCTAAGCAGAGAAGCAGTGTGTACCATTTTCCAAGTCTTTGGTATATGACCCGGCCGGGAGTCGAACCCCCGACATTCTACATGCGAATGACTCTACCATTGAGCCATCGCTGCGGTGTAAGCGATTTACGCGGTGCAAAGTGGAGATAAAGGTGCATCATGCCATCTTTTGAACACTTATGGAATTAATTGTGAGGTATTTGTATTGCTACATGAGCAATCCCGTGTAATTGCTAACAAAACCAGCCGCCTGCTAACGTGCCACTCTTACCCATTGAAACCCCGTGTATTTTGAACAAGCTAGGATTCAATGCTAAAGGGTTACGCCTACTAATCTCATATTATGTATTAGTACTAGCCGGGTACCCGGCGTTGCTCGGGGGAAAACGCGTAGTAACAACTTTTAGAGTCAATTCAGCCACATATATTTACTTGATTCTAAGAATAGATTCGTAACAGAGCAACAAGCAATAAAGAATAGTCTGACAAAAACAGTTCGAACGACTCTATGATCCAATGTAGTGAATGCTTCTAGATATACAACATTGTTATGAAATTGCGCCACGTTAACATCAATATGCCTCTCTGGCTGAATGTGCATGCAGCCTAAATGCGTAAGCAGAGACGTAATGCACTCCCCCAGTCTACGTTGATTTTCTTTACATATTAACTGCGTAAATTTACGTATACAGTAAACATCGTACACCATATACATGCGGTGTACAACTGACTCGCTGTCAATTGAGAAACACGAGCTTACGCCTGAGATCAAATTCGAAGCCGAAACCTGTCAGCATTTCTGGCTGCACGCACGCACGCACACACGCACGCACGCACGCACACACGCACGCACGCACGCACGCGCGCATGCACGCACGCATGTACGTACGTACGTATGTATTTCTGTGTATGTCTGTATGTGTATGTATGTATGTATGTATGTATGTATGTATGTATGTATGCATGCATGTATGTATGTATG